TTGTAGATTTTAAAGAAAGATAGATAAAGTTATTTACTGTATTTTATTATTGTTATTGTTATTATTGTTGTTTTTGTTGTACTAAAACTACAGGTATGTACTGTATATACATTATATATATAAGTCTAAGTCGTGGATAATCATTATTATGATTACATGTATTATTATTATCATTACTATACACTGTATATCTACTGTACTATACATCCATGAGAGATGATTGACCACCAATGATGAAGATATGCCATACCTGAGCTACTTTAACAGTTCACTTCACTCCCACTCACGATCTTATAATTATTTGAAGGCATACTTTCCATGCATTTCAATAGTTTCAGTACTCTCTCTCTCTCTCTCTCTCTCTCTCTCTCTCTTTGATGTATTACTTGAGTATCTAAGAAACTAGTATACAATATATATGCACTTATATTATGTAATATTTTGTTTGCAATAAAAGATTATCTCTCTCTCAAAGAAAATATGCCAGTAGTTAGTTGTTGTGTAATATATCGCTAATTTCATTAAAAAGTTTTTAAAAAGTTTTTAAAAAAAATAATTTTATGGCTAATTGTATGAAAACACGTGAAATATTTCGATACGCTTTCCTCTCTCTCTCTCTATGTCTGAAAAAAAACAAATTTATAATTTTTTTTAAACAAAAAATGTTTGGACACAAAATCCTGTTCAAACACACAAACAAAAAAAAAGTTATCATTAAATTTAATTATCATTAAAATAACAACAAAACAAACAAAAAATGTTACCACAAATTGTTTGATGCGATTTTTGATTATTGTTGTTTAGTTATGTACAGTTTATATAATATATTATAGTTTAATTGTATATTATATAAGTATATAGTTTTTATATAGATTAAACAAAATATAACCCATTATTGTTGTATATCTAAAAAATGCAATTTATTAATAGAAATATTTTTAATGTGATAATTACTAAATATAATATACAGTACAACATATCATATAAAAGTTTTTTTTCCCAATTTGTTTTGTTGTTGTTGTCGTCAATCTATTAAGTATTTTATTTTTATTACAACAAAAAATATATCTGAAAATAATAATTGAAAAATAAAAACACAATTTAATTTAATCGTGATTATAAATATCCAAGTGACCATATAATTAAAAAATTACTAAAATAACTACCATTTTTTTGTGGGGTACATTATATAAATTAATATATATATATATATATATATATATATATATATAATTTAAAAGAGGGGGTCATTGACACTAGTTTTATATATTATATATATAATAGTATTTAAACATAATATATATATATATATCATATAATCATTATATATGTGATTATGCATTAACCGTAACTACAAAATAACAAAACTAATAATTTATATTAAAAAAAAAAATTAAATAATAATTTTGTTTTTGATGACCACTAAGTTGTTAATTTATAGTAACATTATTATTATTATTATTATTTTGTTTGAATGACTTAATAATTATAATTTTTTTTTTAAATGATTTATAATATATAAATATACAGTATATTTATAAAAAAATTATTTAACCATCATAACTTTATATATATAATATAATAGTTATTAAACTTAAAATTAAATGCCCCTATTTTATTTTTTGATGTATCATCATCATCACCAGTCAAATGTTTCACAAAAAAAATAATTAAATAATTTTTTTTTTTGAATTTTATACAACAAAAAATCAATAAATATTAGATAATATTTTGGTAAATAATTATTAGCAAAATAAATAAATAAATAAATAAAGTTAGTCATGTGTGTGGTATTTATTTATTTATTTTTAAAAAAAATTATTTATTTATGCTATTTAGATAATATTTAGCCAGCTTACTATATATATGTTATAATTATTATTGAATTTTTGTTTGATTTTAAAAAAAATATATATTATTTCTAGATTTAATTTTTGATAAAAACTAATTTATTTATTTATTAAATAACTAATCTTTAAGTGGAGTATCAAAAATGTATTTTATAGTTAATTTTTTTTAAAAATATTAAAAGTAAATATTTTATATAACATTTTTAACATTTACATCAATAATATCTATTTATTATATTTGATATTAAATACTAATAAGTTTATATATATATATATATATAATAAGTATTATGACATTAATCCTTAATAAGTATGTATTGAAATAAATTTATCAATAACTTTGATGTAAAATAATTTTTTATATACACACAAAAAAAATTATTACATAACACAAAAAAATTTTTTTGAGGATATTTCAGGAAAACAAAAATTATACAAAAAAAACATCAATTTATTTAGCAATGATCTAAAATAAAAGTGATTATTAGCAAAAAAAAATTATATTATTATTAATACACTATATATTACTGTATATAAGTTATAATGTATTTTTTAATTTAAGTGCTTTTATTTTGAACAACAATAACATAAAAAAAAGTGAAAATTCATGATTGGTTTCAAACAATTGGTGAAAAAACCGATTAAGAGAGAGAGAGAGAGAGAGAGAGAGAGAGAGAGAGAGAGAGAGAGAGAGAGAGAGAGAGAGCTTTTCAATATAAAACAATAGACAATATTTTTTTTCAACAACAACAAAAAATTAATAATAATATTATAATTGACTATACAATTGTAAATATTTTATTATATATGTAATTTACGGTAAATACCAATCATATATATATATGTTAATAACTGTATATAATAGCGAATGAATGACCATTAAATATAATATAATATCATACATAGTTAGATAACTAGATATCCATTTAGATATTCACTTAAAAAAATATATTATAATACAGTATATTATAATGTAATAAATAGTATATAATGAAGGAGTGAGAAAATTTTTAAGAGAGAGAGAGAGAGAGAGAGAGAGAGAGAGAGAGAGAGAGAGAGAGAGAGATATAATTGACTTCTCATCTCTTTTCACAAAAAAAATCTAAAACAAAAAAAACTCATGTATTAAAACAATAAATTATATATTAAATGTTATATACAACTTGTCTGTTATATTGTATGATATCATACAATGTATATACACTGTATATATATATTATATACAGTACTATAGTATATGTCATTAAATAATTTTTTTTCTTAAATAAAAAATGAGACAAACGAGACACACATTTAGACCCTGAGGTCATAATCACCTGAAAGCGTAATCTGTATTTCCGGTGACAATCACTGGCACTGGTAGTTAATAGTGTAGTCAGTAGTAGTAGTTGTAGTAGTATAGGGATAGTTGTTGTTTAAGCAATAATTGCTGTTAACTTTTTTTTATATATATTTATTATAATATAAAGCTTTTTGTAATATAATGTCTATGGATATGATAGCTACTAACAAGAGTGGTAGTAGTTATAGTCAAAAACCCTATATTATATGTCACTTACAGTATATACTATGTATTGAATACGTATATATATATACCTATAGTTACCTGTTGTCTGGTAAGTCATTAACAAAAAAAAACAAACTTAAAGAAAGAGAGAGAGAGATAGAGAGAGAGAGAGAGAGAGAGATAAAGAGAAATAAAAATCATTTTATGCGATAATATATATATATATAAAACAAGAAAAACATAGTATTTTTCTTATGGTTTAACGCACTATTTATTTCAAACTTTTATTATCAACAAAATAATTGTTTTTTATGTCTGTTTTAGTTTAGTTTTTTATTAATTTGTTTCAATGTTTATGTTTTGTTTGACAGTCATATACAACAACAACAACAACAACACTCACTAACTCTTTTCAATAACTATTACTTAACAATCAATCACTTTTAATAAATATTAGTTATGCTGTAATACTATGATTATTATACTGTATATAAATTAGTGTACAAATTATTATTATGTGTTTATTTTAGGGAAAAATTTTTTATAATACATCCTAATAATTGTTTTCTCTCTAATAAATCTAATTAGTATATTATCTAAATTACTATATATATATAGTGTATTTAATAGAAAATGTTAAATATAGTTGTTTTGTTTAGTTTGCAATTAAAATATACAATTATATATATATATATATATATATATATATATATATATATATATATATATATATATAATGTATATTTGTTTGTTTGTTAATAATAGTTAGTTTGTATGCGACATAACTTTTTAATTTTCTGACAATAATTACACATTATTTGTTCAATTGTTTAATAAAAAAAATTTTTTGGCGACAATTTTTTTTTGTGAATATATTGTCAAAAAAAATTATTATATTAATTATATATATATATACATGGAAATATTGTAATTAGTTTTTTTTATAAATGTTATTTTTATGCTAATAATAATTTTTACCAAAAAAATATAAATAAAACTATTAAAATATTATAATTATTATTCATCCATCATATGACATAGTTTTATATACAGTATTACATTTGTACAGTTGATTTAGTCCTAAAAATTGTTAATCACTTTATTATAATAATAATAATTATTATTAAAAAGATTAAGAAATATATATGTCTTATATTGTGAAATAAGGATTAAATCTTAATCTACATATATATATATATATACTGTATATATATATATATGTCTATCTATTGCAAAATTTTATTACTGTATATATATATGTAAATTTATATATCTATAATTTTAAATATATATATATATATACAGGTGTTTAATATGCCTACTAAATGCAAAACACCTGCACTGGTATGTATATACTGTACTACATATACAATATTTATATGATATCAAAGTGCAAACAAACATTTCAAATCAAAAATTCAAAAATTATTATTATTATTAATTTTGTCGAAAACATGTATCTCTAAAAATTATTATTTAAATCACATAAACCCATGACTACTACTACTTAAAACCCGATAACAAATTGAAAAAAAATTGTTGACCAAAATCTCAAAATCAAAAGTTTTTATAATATAGTTTGAATCAGTCAGTCAATCGATTTGCCCACAAGTGGTTGACTTAGTTTTTTTCCAATAAATTTTTGTTTTAATTAATTGATTGATTGATAGATTGATTAATTGGATTTGATTTAATTGTCATTATTTCACTATTTTTCACAATTTTTAAAAAATCTGATTTTTTTTAAATTAAAAATCCACAAATTAAGAGCAAACATGACATCAAACAACAACACCAACAACTCCTCCACCACTGATGACGACATGAACACCACCAGCGAAGAAGTCAACACTAGTTCACTGGATTTGCAACTAATGGACGGATCGCCAGATCAAGTGATTCCGGGTATATATAAACTAAAATTTAAAAATAAAAAATATTTTCAAACAAAAAAATATATTTATTAATCATAAATATAATATTAATTTTTAATTACCACAGAAAGTGATAACGATTCGGGAATTGTTGCCATTGTTGGCAAAAACAAGCGAATCGGTTCCACGGCTTCCAACTCGGATGAAGATCACAGTCTTAAGGATAAGTAAGTCTTCAGTTTTTGTTGTCTCCGGAAGAAAAAAAAATCATAATTTATTTGTACTTATATTTAAAAAAATATATTTATTATTAATTTATTTTCAATTGAAATTAAAATTAAAATTGTCGTCAAATAATAGGATCAACCAATCGGTAAACCAGTTGTTGAATACATACGGCGGCGTTGGTTCAGTAGTCAAACCACGGGTCAGATTTGACGACGAATTACCGCTTTCTGAACAAAATATGCGAAAGTCTTGTAAGAAATTGTTTGAAACCCTTCGCAACAACCAAAACAGTTTGCCATCAAATGAAGAGTCGTCTTATAATAATAATAACAAAAGTCTGTTGCCTTCATGTCATTGTCGACACTTTGCGCCGCAATCGGGATCATCGGTAACGGCCAACAACTCGTGCAACGCGTGCTATACTAACGACTTAAGTGAAGAATCATTCGACGACAACGAACTACTGATTACGACCTACGGTAGAGATCAGTACCCGACTAACGGTTACAATCGCCAATCGGGTGCTGGCGGTAGACATACCAAATACCATACGTTGGACAACCGGAAAAAACATAATAACCCGAACTTGTGGTCATCAAAAGCCGGTGGCGTCAAAAGTGGTGGTAAAACTTTCGAAGATATTGTCCACCGAAAGTCGTCGCCAATCGATTGTAACGAAGCGCTCGATAAGATTAAGCGAATGTCCGATCGGCTCGAGTCGTCATCGATGGTCAATGCTTTCGCTCGGCCGGCGTTCATCAAGTCGGCCGATTTTGGCCAAACAATGGACACCCTATACGAGACAATATTTCCGACGACAGATATACCAAAAGTGACAACAAGTCAGACGCCAAAAACTTCGGCGACAGTCGAGTCGCCCAATAGTCATGTAAATCGTTGGCTGAACAGCAGTCCCATCAACAGCGGCGGCAACAACAACAACATCGACAGGCATACTGACGATGACTATGTCATTGATGTCAAAGAGTTTAATGTGTTGTCTGCCGTAGCCGTCGGCGCCAACAACAATCGCTTTGCCTCTGACCCGAAGCCGCCGTGTTTTTTGCGGTCAATACCCAACGATATACATAAAATCCATTCGATGAACAGTCCGTCGAAAGGTTCGTACATATCGGCCGATCAAATCTATCCGGACATGACCTCCAACTGTGGTGACGACAACATCAATGGACTGCCGGTTACGGATGTAATGAACCGGTCATTTGACGAACGGACGGCTACGGCGGCTGACCAGCGATTCAGTCAATCGTATTCAGCCGGCGATGACATGAAAAAAGGTATACTCCGTAATCGACTGAAAGGTGCCACCAGTGAAATAGATCTCAACAAAACATCGTTGACCACCGCATCGCCAAAATCAAAGTCATTTCTCCAACGATTTAAGTCAGCATTCAGCCGTGCCTTTACATCATCGACATCCGCGTCCAACTCATCATCCTCTGCAGCCGACAACAAACAGTTTCAGAAACAGTTGGCCATCAATACAGTACACAATAGTAAAAGTCAGTCGCAATCGGATCTGCGGATTAATTGCGATCCGAAAGGTAGCCGAATGAACCTCAACACTGGTGGTGGTATGGATAGCCAACGACACCATCATCATCATCGGGGGTCGGCAGCAGCCGATAGGTCACCATCGTTTGTCAAGAATATCCGATCCCGGATCAGTTTGCGTCGATCATCAAACAAAGTCAACTCACCCGACAAGGATAGTAAGTCAACTAATAAAGCAATAAACAGTCGCCGAAGTTTATTGATGGACCAACGGTACAATAATTCTTCAATACCATCATCAGCAACGACATCGACGTTGTTGTCGTCACCGAAACACCTGAGCTTATCATTGGCAACGGTAGACAACATTGTGGGTAACAATGACGGCGACCACAATAACCGGGTTTGGGGCGAACTAATTAAACTCAATTCGGATTCATCGCAAGTAATCCAAATCCGTCGCCAAACTGGCCATCCGTTCGGCTTTTTCGTTGCCCGCGGAACAGTCAATCAGGTCAAAGGTTAGTGTTGTTTATCACCCAAATAAAAAAAGTACCGTAATTTTGATTTTGTTGTAACACTTCCTCTCTCTCTATCTCTTTGATTGTCTCCTCTGAAGGTGTTTTCGTGTCGCGAATGAAAGACGAAGAAACCCAGAAATGTCTGACCGGTGTCCTAGAAATTGGCGACGAAATACTGGCCATTGACGGCGAATCGGTTAAAGAGGCCAACATTATGCGTATCAATCAACTAATTGCCAACAAAGATACCATTAGACTAACGATTATTCCTTATATGAATAATAAATATTTTTAGGATTAAATAATTAATTATATTATGTTTTTTATAGGAGAAAAAAAATATTTTTAATTATTTTTCACTAATAATTAACAAATTATTTTTTTAAGAAATCATTTTATTTTATTTTTTGTATACCATTTCCATTACATATCATTTTTTATAAGATTTATTATAAATTATTTTTATGTTTTTTCTAATTTTATATACAATTATTATATTTAATAGTAAGTTAAATGAATTTACGATTGAATTTTAAAATAAATAAATAAAAAAGTTATTTATTATTATAAATGAAAAAAAAGTTTATTGAAATTTTTAAAATTAATTACTACTAATTAATAACTTTTTAATTAAATATTTAAAATAGTTTTTATTATGTAATAATTGTTTTTTGTGGAAAATTAATCAAGGTTAGTATTAATAATTTTTAATGGGCATAATATGCATACTTTTTTAAATAAAAAAAATTAAATTAATAGTTGACTTAACTATTCATCGTTGAAATATAGTATTATAAACTTTTATCATTTAATTAATAAATTTCAACCCTGATAATTTTTGCAAATTTTATATAAAATATTTAAACGTTGAATACTTAAGTCAACTGTTAATAAATTTTTATTATTAAAAAAAGTATTGTATTTTATGCCATAAAATAAAAAAATAATAAAAGTAACCTTGAATAAAAATTTCAATCCTGATGCTTTTAACATTTTATATAAAATTTGCAAAAAATTGTCAATTAAATCTAGTATTATAAAATATAAGTCAAGTATAATTATACAATCTATGATAATTTATTTTATGAGTAATATTACTACTATTTATTAATTAATTTTTAAAATTTTATATATTGCGGTAAATTTAATTAATATTTATCAAAAAAATAAAATAAGCTAGGTAATAAATATAAACACCCAAATAAAAGAAACTTAAATAATAATAAAACTAAATATATAATTTACAAAAAAACAAACAATTATTTCATTAAATTATATTATTGATAATATTACTTTTAATTAATTTATTTAAATTAGTAAAATATCTGTTTTATTATAACAATATTTATTTAATTTGTTTTTATATGTTATATGTTTTTAAAAACCCTAATAATTATAATAATTTATTGATTGTAGTCAACAAACAAACGAACAAAAATCTACATAAAATATGGATTAATTTATACAATTATTTTTCAAAAAAAAAAAAATTTGTCGATTCAAATACAATTCAAATAAAACTTTTAATAATAATTTTTAAAAAAAATTTAATTTAAATCTAATTAATAGCTAATTGAGTGCCCAAAACACCTATTGTTTTAATTATATGGATGACTGTGTTTGTTGTCGTTCATCAGCAGCTCCTCCTCTCTTATCGATCTCTTTACGCAAAGCGACCACACATTTAGCCATTGTTGGCGACGCACGGCTGATGACATCGGTTTGATAATAGTCTAACAGATCCGCTAGTTTTGTCCGCAACCGTATCGAATCGTTGGCCGCTTTCGGTGAGACTGGTCCGCCCGATGGTGGTCGGATGGCATCTATTTTCAAATTTTCATTACAGTAGACCAGATTCGGCGACAACTGTTTCATTCGTTGCCGTAAACCGAGCAACGAGTCGTAGCCGAGTGTATGATTGCATATCTCGGATACGGCCCGTACTATCTTCCAGTCGATTCGGGCCATCGACGGCGGCGTTATGGCGGCTAAGGTTTGCTGCGATCGGCCCTCCAGGTTGACATAAATCGATTGTTTTTCGGTAAAAGCGGCGCCGGGCAGTACAACATCGGCCCTATTGGCACCAATTTCGCCGGTATGTCCCTGAAATAACAAGATTTCCGGTAATTAATTTATCGGTTAATAGTAAAAAAAACTTGTGGTCAACAAACTTGATATATAAGAAAAGTATTGTTTTGCGGTATTTTCAGCTGACTGTCATCGACACCGAACAGCCAAACAAGTGCCGGCTCTCCATTGTCTTCCAGATTGAGTTCGGATCCGTTTCTTAGGCCCAGATCATAGGCGGCCACTTGCGATGCGTTTGAGTGCAATATATTGAATTCAATGTTAGGATGTTTATCGGCTATTTGTTTAACTAAATCGTAAGCATTTGAGTTGTCATTATTGCTACGAAGTATTTGTTGTCCCAAAATAATTATCGGTTTCTTAGCTGAGGCCAACTTTTTACTGATCGGATGTGTGCCGTTTGCCACCGATTTCAATGTCTTGATATCGTCACCTAACCAGTCGTAATCGTATAGCAGATCCAAACCTTTCGGCCCGATTAGGGCTATATCGTTGATCCACGAATTGCGCCACGACTTACGTATGCGGGCGTTGACCATCGGTGCCTCCAATCGGGGATTACTACCGACCAGTAGTATGAAATCACTTTTCTCAATGTCGGCAATACCCGTATTGAACAGATAGTTATAGCGGAAATCTAGATCCTGACTGCCGGGTAGAGCACTGGGATCTAATTGAGTGTCTGTGTGAACAAATACATTCTCCGAACCCAACGAATTGACCAGATCTTTGATGGCTACCATTGTTTCGGCATCTGTGTGCGGCCCGACAATGGCAACAATACGACTGGGATCGACGTGATTGATAGCCTGGCCAACCGATATGAGAGCGTCCTCCCAGTCGCACTCCTGCAAAGTCGAATCACTCGACGGTCGGACCATCGGAACGGTTAGTCGTTGAGCTTTGAGACCATCAACGGGTGCGTGTCTGGACTTATCGGCCAACCATTCTTCGTTGACATCTTCGTTCAGTCGGGGAATGATACGCAAAAAATCGCCCGATCGCTGGCAGACAGATATATTAGAGCCGACGGCGTCCATAATGTCGATTGAATCGAAACGTCGTAATTCCCACGGACGGCCTTTTTTTGATTATGATTACGGGATTACAAAAATTAATTATATAACGGGGGAGGGGGTATAAATCGATAATTATAACTTACCGGTAAACGTATACGGTTTGCTGGTCAGAGCTCCGACAGGACATATGTCGACAATATTGCCCGACAGTTCCGATACTAGTGCCGTATTTTGTAGATAGGTTCCGATTTGCATATCCGCTCCGCGACCACTGGTACCCAAATCGGCGCAACCGGCAATTTCGTTCATAAATCGGACACAACGGGTACAGTGTATACACCGAGTCATTATAGTTTTGACCAGTGGTCCGATATTTTTGTCTTCGACTGCCCGCTTGTCGTCCCATTGGATCTGCAGTCGGGATCGATCGGAGCCGAAAGCCATCGATTGGTCCTGAAGGTCACATTCGCCTCCCTGGTCACAGATGGGACAATCAAGCGGATGGTTGAGCAGTAGAAACTCCATAACACCTTCGCGGGCTTTTCTGGTCATATCGGAGTCGGTTTTGATACGCCAACCTATCGATTGATTAAAGAGAGAGAGAGAGATAACCATCAATTGGATGGACATTAACACACGGGTGGGTGGGAGCAGTGTGGTCACCACACTTACCGGGCATTACGGGCATAGCGCACGAAGCTACCGGTTTGGCCGCTTTTTCAATCTCCACGAGACACATACGGCAATTGCCGGCCACCGATAGACGTTCGTGATAACAAAATCTGGGTATATCGACACCGACTCGGGCACAGGCCTCCAGTACGGTAGTACCCGGTTCGACCATAACTGGCCGATCGTTGACAAATACTTCAACCATTTTCGGGGCCGGCGGTGGTGGTGGCGGCGGTGCAGCCGCTGAGGACAAGGCTCGCGAGCCAGTGGTTGTTGTTGTCGTAGTAGTAGTCAATTGGCCGCCGCATTGGTGAACGATTCGGTGCAATACTTTGGTGGCCACCAAACGATTCATTATTTATTTTACCGAAAAAAAAATGTTTTATTTATTATATATTTATATAAATCACTAATCAATTCAATTATTATTAATAAATATTATTTAAATGATATATCATTTAAAAACATTGCAATCGATTAATACTATATATAATAGACTATTAATAATAATAATAATAATAATAAACAGTTAATTAAATTTATGTTATTTTTATTGTTATTATTAATTGTAATGTTATTTCCAAATCCAATGGTTTATATCTAATAACAATAACAACAATAAAATGTATTATAAATTATAATATCAATTGTATTAATGATTTTGTTTTTGTAAATACAGTATTATAAAAGTTAAAAAGTCAAACAACTTTCATAAACAACATAACCAATACATAAAATATGATTTATTTTTTATTTTTTTTGTGAATACGATTGTTGTGAACATATTATTTATTTTATTATTTTTTTTATATAATACATACGCTGCCATCTGATTGTTAATACTGTTAATAATTAATTAAATAATATTAAAAATTAATTAAATAATGTTAAAAATTATTATTATTTATAATTTAATTAATTAATTAATTATGAATATTGTAATTATACCGAAAAAAACTTAATTATATATATTATTATAAAAAACTATTGTTAACTATTGTATAAAAAAAATCATACAATTTATATATAGATTTAATTAATTTAATAATTATATATAATTTATTTATTTATTTATATATTATTTAGTTAAATATAGTCTATTTTAAAAAAATATAGTTTAGTTTAATTAATTTAAAAAAAAATTAAATGTTATATCCAGTAAATGTACAAAAATTTTTTTTTATTGTTATTTAGAAATTTGATATATATTTATTAAATTTAATCTTTTAAAAAAAAAAATCAATTAATTAAATCATTTGAACAATAATAACAAGTCTATAATAGTTTATTATAATTTTCTTAAAATAAATTTTTCTATCATTATTTATATTCAAAAAAAAAATCATATACAGTATAATTTATAATACGGTAATTAAATTGATAGTATTTTAAAAAACAAAAAAAAACAATATATATATTTATAGTATTTTATCACTAAATAAAAAAAATGCAATTAATTTTTATGTATATTAACTATATATATATATATATTTTTATCAAAAATTAATAAATTGGTTTAAGTTTTTGACTATTTTAAGAGATATTTAATTATAAATATATATATATTTATTTAAATCTATTATATGATATAATAATAATAATAATAATTCAATTGCTATTAAGTTTGATATCGTCTAATATATCTTTGGCGCCCAATCCGAGCAAATCCTGGGCCAAATCGTAGCCAATCATTGCACTGTTGGCCAACTGGTTGGCCGCCGTCGCCGCCTCCGTAAATTGGCCGACAGCTATACCTGTATAGTTGAACGGACAGACCGATCGATCGATAGTTGTCAGGTCTGGCAGTTTGTTATCTAATTTACGATTCAAATTGCGGCTAACTTTACCGTCAACTCGGCTGCGGCCGTCCAGACTCATCACTACGCCCTCCAATGTTAGCACACAGTTAGCATCGTTATCGTCGGCACCGGTAGTCCAAACTGAACGGACACCTATCGGTATAGAACAGCCGCCTTCGAGTTGTTGCATAAAAGTACGTTCGGCCAGACATTCGCAAGTAGTCTTCAAATGGATCAACGGTTTCAATAGATCCATAATAAACTGGTCATCCGTACGGGTTTCGATAGCCAATGCTCCCTGACCTACAGCATAGTACCAATTATCAAGTAACTGGCCAGATATACGATGGCCGTAATCGGCTCGTATGAGTCCGGCCGATGCCAAAATCAATGCCGAATAACCGCTAGTTGGGTCGTCCAGTTTGCTGAGTCGGGTGTTAAGATTTCCGCGTATATCGACAACTCGGATGTCGGGATTCAAGTGTTTCAATTGGGCGATCCGTCTCAGCGATGACGTACCGATAGTAACGTTTTCGTTGATTTGGTGACAATTAGGCGACAATATATCAAACGGATTGTCCAAATTGAGTCCCGATTTCAATACGATAGCATCGGACGAGTTTTCGCGTCTATTATAATAAAAAAAATACAAAACAATTATTGAATTGATTTTTTCCCCAATTATTTATAATCAAAAACTTAATTATCATTTAAATAATTGTTTTTAAAAAGTTTTTTCTTTAACAAAAAATGTACCGTAAGTTCAACACAATAGATGGTAGGAGAATACTTCCCGGGAAACTTCCACACCGGGGGGTAGGGGTAGAGAGGAAAGTGGGGGTCGACAGGAAATTGTCTAGTAATATGTGTATTGATTATCAAAGGGATTAACAACATATTATACTAACTTTTAAAAAATGATAAAATCAATTATACTTTTTTATTGAGAAAATAACAAAAATATTTGTGTATTTTTTTGTTTATTTTGGAGGCAAACATTTTTCGGGGTTTGGTATCTAAGTGTTAAGTATTTAATGTATATAATTGATATAATCATATCATATAATAGTGTAAAAAGCAAATAAAATTAAAATCATAACTAAATCATAGGAAACTGTAGCTAAACTAGTGGTATATTCCGGTATATACATGTATATCATATGTATGTACAGTATGTTTGTGTGGGTTAACACCCGATTAAGTATACAATTAATTAATAGTTAATAACTAATTATTAAATAAAAAAATAGTCAAACAATCAAAACATTTTTGTTTATAAAAAAAATAGTAAAATATTTCATCAAAAAAAAATTATAATAAAAAATAAATACTTTGTAATCACAGCTATGGCACAGCCGTCGGGCAGTGTTGTCGGCAAGTCTTTGAGCGAATGGACAATCAGATCGATATTTTCGGCCAACAAGTCGTCCTCTAGTTCACGAGTGAACAGAGCTTTTTCACCGATTTTGGCCAACGGCCTGTCCAACACATTATCGCCGGTTGTGGTCATCGATTTGATGGTAAACTCGTAGCCGCCGTCATCGGCATCGGTAGCGTACAGTTGCCGCAACTGGTTGACCACCCAATGGGTTTGTATCATGGCCAGTTTACTTTTACGGGTACCGATACGTATGTGTGTCCTCCGGTTGGCGGCGGCAGTGGTGGTAGTTGTAGTGGTTTCGGCCATAGTTTGTGTCGACATTTTGTAATTGCGGTCCAAAAAAATGATTTATTTAATAAAATAAAAACTTTTTTAAAGTATATTATTATTATTAATATTAATCAAAAACACAAACAGTGATAATACAAACATATGTATAGAGAGAAAACACTATAATTATTATAATATAAGGTATATATATATAAGGTATCCAATAGTTTACTGTTAAAACTGTTGCATACCTTTCAAAAAATAAAATAAAAATTACTAAACACTACACGTGTATTGAAATTATTAAAATTATTTTAAAACATATCATATATGAAATGTTTTATCCACATATTATAAAATTTTGATAATATATATATATAATATTAAGCAAATTTTTTTTATTATCAAATATATCTATCTATATATATATAACAGTATATAATTAATCAGTTTAAAATAAATGTGTTTTTTTCTATTGAACACACATATAATATAAAATCAATTGATTGATTGAGTATTTTTTAATATATATAAATATACTGTATATATGTGTATGTGATTAACAAATATACAGTTAATTTTTGTAAAATAAAAAATAAAAATACAAGTCAAGTGTTTGTTTGAATCAATAAAAAAAATTATTGATATACTGTATATATTGGTGTTTTTAACACACATGTCTATTACTACTATACTAGTACATACAGTATGAATTGACAATTTTATATTTTCAATGTTATCAATATCATATTTCAAAAAAACAAAAATGTTTATTTCAAGTGGATATATAATACAAATATATATATATTATATACAGTATAGTAGTATTAGTAATAATAATAATAATAATATACTATACAATAATAATGTTAAAATGAAATGTCATTTTATATATATATATATAAAACTAAACTAAACTAAACTAATCAACTATGTTATGATAAGTATTTTATTTTATTATATATTTTTTAAGTGTGCTATTTGTTAGCGTATTAATTGAAATATTATATAAAACCTGTTTTTTCAAAAATATTATGACAAATATTTGTTTAAAAGAGATTTTTTGAAGAAAAAAAATCATTTATAAAATGACTATTATTTATTATATAAAATGATTTTTTAAAAAATATATAATTGTATAGTTAATGTGTTTAATCTAATTAATAAAAAAAAAATTTGATAAAAACTATTGTATTTTTTTAAATTACTAGTTTTTGTAATTAAAAAATAGGGTTATTATACCACAGATTAAACTATTAAATTGAAATGAATGATAAAATATTAGGACATTTTTTTAAAAACATAATTATTTCTATAATTAAAAAAAATTAGATTTATATTTTATAAAATGACTTAATAGACAATTATTTGATTTTTAAAAAATTATTATTTAAAATCTTATATATAAATATATTAATATTATTAGCATCATTACTAAATAAATATAATACAGTTTATATAATTAAAAACTATTTATTTGAAAAAAATAAAAATAAAACCTATTATCCGTATAATATAATATAATATAAATTATTTATTTTGAAAATATGATTTTAAAAAAATTAAAAACAAAATTATATTTGAAAATATAGTAATAATATGCTTAAGCAATTTATTAGTATTATTATTGATATATTAATTTTTATAATAACAAACAAACAAACAAATAAAATTAAAAAAAATAATAATTAACAAGAAATTTAACTGAAAAACTTTTGCTTTTTTGTGGTCAATTGTGGCCACCCGGGAGTCCAGTCAGTCAATTAATGTTTTATTTTGGCTACAAATTTGTTGCTAAAAGCGCCGACACATCGATCGACTCCCGGTTTGTTTTTGTCATCATTGCATAGAAAACATTGGGTATTATAGGAGGCCTCGAAACCGGCCTGATTTGCGCCGCACTGGTAGATGGCATCCGGTTTACAGTCGCAACCTTTGAGTACCGGTCCGTATTTTAGTCCTCCGCTAGTAGTGTCCACACGATTGGTTCGTTTGCCGCAAAACTGGCCAACCCATAGACCACATTTACAGCCGTCTGCTAACCCCAACCCCCACACGGAGATTATAATAACAATTGAAAATATATATTAGTTTTACAATAAAACAAAAATTTAAGCAAATAATTAGTTATTTTTTTATTGTTGTTGTTGTATACAAACCGCCGCCACAGTCGGACTTAGCCGCCAATACATTGACCACTGCCAGTGTGGCCAACATTAGACAAACCAATAGTTTTGACATTATTTTTGTAGGTTTTGAATTTAAAAAAAAAAATAAAACAATTGTTTTGTTGAATACAATAATAATGATTTATTTTTTTGTGGACAAAATGTTCGCGCTTTATATACAACTAATTTTTTAAAAATAATAATATTATCTAATTGTTAAGCTATAAAAACTAATAAACATAAAATTGTGCAATTGATAATTTTAGTATTATAAAAAATAATTTGATAATAAAGTAATTTTCTTAATATATTACCGTATATTATAATTAATTAAGCAAGGTTTTTATTATTATTATTATTATAGTGATAGTATACTTAAATATATATATATATATATATATTAATTTATAATTTTATAATATTGTATGATAAAAAATAAATAAATAATAGGACAATAATTGATGAGATTTTTTGCGAAAAATTAAAATTTTTATTATATCTCTTATAATAAAGATACTAATGTTATATTATTAAGTATTTTTTAGTATATATTATATATATATATACATTTACCTGGATCAATTTTATACAAATAATAAAATATTGTATAAATATATATAAATTTATATATATTAAAGTATAAATTTAATTATGGTATTATAAGAACTATATAAATATATATATATAATTGTATAAATATACATTACTAAATTATATAGATTTGTTGTTGTTATTTGATTGAATGGTTTTAATTAATTTTTAAACAATTAAAATTTAATATATATATATATATAAAGTATTTATAAATAATCTATAATTTTTTTAAGTACATTTACTGGATATTATACAACTAAAAGTTATTACCATTTTAAAAAAAAAATAGTTTCTATTCAATTGTTTATTATAATTCAATTTATTAGAAACATATGATTCAAAAAAACAAAACAAAATACATTAATAAATTTAAATATAAATATAAGCTTAAGCAATTTTTTATTATTGATATATCAATTTATAATATAATAATTTTTATAATAACAAACAAATAAAATATAATAATAAAATTAATTAAAAAATAATAATAATTAATTAGAAATTTTCAGGGTAATTTATTTTATATGTGATCATATATATATTGACTATATCGCCACCCCCACCCACCCCCTTTGGTTACTCAAACTTGATTTCAGTATTTGATTTCGTCGTTGTCGTCCGATTGGCCAAAAGTGTTGACACACCGGTCGACTCCCGGTTTGTTTTTGTCGTCTTCGCATACAAAACACTGGGTATTATAGCTGGCCTCGAAATCTTCCTGATTTTGGCCGCACTGGTAGATGGCATCCGGTTTACAGTCGCAACCTTTGAGTACCGGTCCGTAAGTGAGTCCATTGTCGGTAGTGTACTGCCGATTGGTTCGTTTGCCGCAAAACTGGCCAACCCATTCACCGCATTTACAGCCCTCTGTGTAACCCCCCAAACACACACCCACCCACCCGAAAATTATTATAATAAAATTAATAAAAATTTTGTAATTTTTTATTGTATGTGAGTATACAAACCGCCGCCACAGTTGGGCTCCGTAGTTGTGTCAGTGGCCAATACATTGACCACTGCTAGTGTGGCCAACATTAGACAAACCAATAGTTTTGACATTTTGTTTTGATTTAATTGTTTTGTATTTTTTAAATAAAAAACAATTTTGTATTTTTGTTGAATAATATAAATGATTTTTTTTTGTTCAGACAAAATGTTTGCACTTTATATACTACTTATTATTTTGGAGGGGGGGGGTAGGAGAGGGTGTAATAAAATTATTATCTAATTGTTAGGCTATAAACTAAAATACTAATAATTGTATAATTAATTATACAGTATTACTAAAATTTAATATAATTGATTAAAAAATTAAATGATAATAAAGTAATAATTTTATTAATTTATTATATTATAATTAATTAAAAGCTATGATTTTATTATTATGGTAATAATATTTTTAATTTTTAATTATAATTTTATAATATTTAGACATATTGATGCAATTATTTTTTATAAAAAAAATAAATTTTAATTATATCTCTTATAATAAAGATACTAAAGTTCATATAGATTTAACTATTATTATTATTAAGTAGTTTTAGTTTATAATTATTATTGATATATAAATTTAGATATATATTATATATTTAGCTGGCTAATTTTATAAAATAAAAATATGATTGCATTTTATTAGCTTTATTTAGTTATAAATGTAAATTTAATTACTTTATTATAAATACTATATATACTATAATTTGGTTGAATATAAACAATTATACCAAAACTTATAATTAAAGCTATTTTGTTGATGTTATTGTTTAAATGATTTTAATTAATTTGTAAATAGTTAAAATTTAATATATTATTATATTTATAAATAATTTAAAAAAATACATTTACTGAATATTATTCAATTTATTAAAAATTTCAACCAACAAAAAAAACCAATTATTTTAAGTAATAAAAAAATAATTTTGTTAAACAGTAAAAAATTGTTACCAATTATCAATTTTTTACTATTTAATTGTTTAATTATAATTCAATTTATTAGAAATATTATTAAAAAAAACAAAATATATTAATTAAAATTTATATTTAAATATATGCTTAAACAATTTATTATTATTATTATTATTATTGATATATCAATTTATACATTAAATTATTTTGGATAATAACAAACAAATAAAATAAAAATTTATAATTAACAAGAAATTTCGGGAAATTTTAGTTTTATATTTTTGCAATTGTTTTTAAATTTTTTAGTCCAATTTATTTGGTTTTATGGCTAAAAACGCCGGCGCATCGGTCGACTCCCGGTTTGTTTTTGTCGTCATCGCACGTAAAACATTGGGTATTGAAAGAGGCATCGAAACCGGCCTGATTGGCGCCGCACTGGTAGATGGCATCCGGTCGGCACCGGCAACCACTTAGTACTGGTCCGTATGCCAGTCCATTGTCGGTAGTGTACTCACGATTGGCCCGTTTGCCGCAAAACTGGCCAACCCATTCGCCACATTTACAGAAAGCTGTAAACCCATCCACACATACACACACACACACACACCCACCCGATAATTATTATATTAATATAAGAAAAATTAATTTAATTTTTTTTTTGAAATAAATAATTTAGTAAATAATAATATTTTTTTTAGTATACAAACCGCCGTTTGGGCACTCCGTAGATGACTCATCCGCCAATACATTGACCACTGCCAGTGTGGCCAACATTAGACAAACCAATAGTTTTGACATTATTTTGCTTTGGTTTAAATTGTATTGTAATTTAACAAAAAAAAAATCAATTGTTTTATTTTTATGTTTTGTTGAATGATTTTTATTTTGTAGACAAAATGTTTGGGCTTTATATACTACTAATTTTTTATGGGGTATTATTATTATTATTATATAACGGAATATAAAATTATATATATATTATCTAATTGTTAGGCTATAAAAAATTAAAATTGTGTTATTGATAATACAGTATATATATATTGTAAATTTAATGCAAATAATTGATAATAAGGTAATTAATTTTTATATATAATCATATATTTTAATTATTTTATTATTATTAAGATTATTATTTAATTATGTTATGATTTTTATAATTACGGTATTAGAGCGATAATTTATATACTTATATATTATATGTTAATTTATGATATAATTTTTATAATATCGTATAATAAAATAATAATTTTAATTTTTGATGCTATTTTTGCGAAATATTGCAATATTTTTTTTAATTATTATAACCCCTTTAGTAACTAATTATAGTTTTAATATATTAAATAAAAAAAATAAAAGAAAATAAAATTATGATTGCATATGATTTTATTTAGTGATAAAATACATTTTAAAAATATTTAATTACTAACTATATAAATAATTACAACAATTTTTTTATATATTTATTTAGATTAATACAATAATAATAGTAAACTATAGATTTTATTGTTGTTATTACTTGAATGGTTAAATTAATTTTCTTTTATAAATTTAAAACTTAAAAAATATTATTTTTATAATTTTTTAGCACATTTTTCTGACTATTATACAACAAAAAAAAAGTTTGTTAAACACTGAAAGTTGTTACCATTTTTTTATTAAATAAATTTTATTTCTATTCAATTGTTTCTTATAATTTAATTTATTAGACAATTTATTATTCAATTATAAATATAAATACTGTATATGTTTAAGCAATTTTTATTGATATATCAATTTATACAATAATAATAATGTTTATAATAATTAAATTAAAAAAAAATTAATTCAAACAAGAAATTTATAGAAAAATTCATTTTTCCGGTCAATTGTTTTTTTTGTCCTCCGATTTACAGGTCTTTGTTTCTAAAAGTGTTGACACACCGGTCGACTCCCGGTTTGTTTACGTCGGCATCGCATGTAAAGCACTGGGAGTTATAGGAGGCCTCAAAATCTTCATGATTGGCGCCGCACTGGTAGATAGCTTCGGGTTTGCATCCGTTGCCTTTAAGTACCGGTCCGTATGTGATTTTTTTGTCTGTAGTGTACACTTTATTGGCCCGTTTGCCGCAAAACTGGCCAACCCATTGGCCACATTTACAGCCATCTATTTGTTTGATTTTTTGTGTGTAATAAAATTTGTTGTAATAAATTATTAATTTTATTTTAATAATTAATTTTGAAAAAAATAAATAAAAAATAAGATTTTTTGTTGTATACAAACCGTCTGGACAGTCGGCGACCGCCAATACATTGACCACTGCCAGTGTGGCCAACAATAGGATAACCAGTAGTTTTGACATTATTTTTTGTCGGTTAATTGTATTGTGATTTTTTAATTATATCAAATTGAATACAATAATGATTTTTTGTTTGTATGAGTAAATAAAAATTGAAGCGCTTTATATATACTAATTTTTTTTGTTAAATTATATATACAGGTATACGATATAAATATATATATATAAAATATATATAAATTATAAATATATATATATATATATATATATATATCGATATTTATCAAATCTTATACTATAAAAAAACTATAATAAATAAATTATATGATTGATAATACAGTATAGAATTGAATGGACAAATAATAGATAAAATAATTATATTATATTTTTAATTATGTTATTTAATTATTTATGCAATTATTATTATTTTTATTTATTATAGTGATAATATACTTGTATTTTGTAGTCATAATAGTATATATAATATTATATCAATTTTTAGCCATAAAATTCATAAAAAAATATTATATTAATTATTATCAATGTAGCAATTATTAACCTAATTTTTTTTATGTATTATCTATTACCTATGTAATTTTTTTAAAATGTTATTTTAGTTATTTATCTAAAGTAAGTATTATATAACTTATATATAGTTAAAGATTAATATTATTTGATGTTTTTTTGTTGTTGATAGTTTAACAAAAATAATATAATAAAATAATTATAATAATTAGTAACTAATATCATATATATATATATATATATATATATATATATATATATATATATATATATACATATGTATATATTGCAAAATTTGATAATTAAAACAATTATTTTTTAAAAAGCAAAAGTTTTATTTTTTCAAATATAATTATTTTATTGGTCTCAAGATTTTATTATTTTCGTTGATATATTAATACAAAAAAAAGTTTTAACACAAATATAATTTAGATTTATATATTAGATATTATTAATCAATGCAATTACAGTATTATTATTATTATTATTAATTATCAATTTCACATATAATTATTGTAATCTATTTTATTATACAAATTATTATTGAAATAATATTTTAAATGTATTTTAAATCTAACACAATTTTATATTTATTAATTACAATATATTTAGTCGATATATGTATGTATTTTTATATATTGATTATCGAAATAAATTGATTTTTTAAAAATTTATTAAAATCGTTGATAATTTTTTTAAAGTAAATTTTATAATAAGTCAAGTCATATAATTTAATAAAAGTCATAATAAAATTGTAAAATTATAAATATAAAATGTAAATATATCTAATAAATTATTACTATTAAAATAAATTATTTGTAAACTATCACTATTACTGTATCTATAAAAAAACTTATATTAATTAAATCTATTGACTTAACTTATCTTTAAAATTTTTTAATTATAAAAGTTTGTAATTTTTATCTAGCTTAATTTGTTTTAATATGCAAAAATTTTTGTTCACATTTATTGTACTGTATATATATATTGTATTTTTTTGTTTATTAGTTATTAAAATAGTGTAAAATGTAATTATACACACATATAGACTTTATATAAACAATTAACAAAACTATTTGTTTTTTTTATAAATGTTTAATTAAATGATTGATTTATTAAACACATTACACACACACACACACACACACACACATACATACATACATATACACACATTATTAGTACATATATGATAGTCAGTCATAGCTATTCAATAAAAAAAATTAATAAAAATATATTTAGTTATAATTAATTAATAATTTAGACGACAATATAATGTACAGATGATATAATGTTTAAAATAATTAATCATTTAAAAAAATATATAATTAAACGTAATAAACATATATATATATGTAATGTATTGTAATTAGCTAATAGTAGCACATGTTTTAAATTATTAATATTTTTTCATATATATATATATATATATATATATATATATATATATATTGTATTAAATTTATACATCAAAATAACAATTGCATCAAAAAAAACCATTATTAATAATTTCCATTAAAAAAACTTAAATATATAAATATAGTATTTTTCTGAAATTTAAATATCTAAATGTGAAAAATTATATCTATTTTAATCTATAGTAATAGTAGTAATTAATTAATTAATAAAAAAATTTCTTTCTTTAGCTAACACATTAAATCATTTAATACATATATAAATGTTGAATATATGTAATGAAATTGATGTCTAATTAAATAACTTTTTTTAATAATAAAATGTTAACATTTTATTATCAATAAATATATGGAAATTTTTTTTTCTTCTCAAATCCTTTCATAATAATTAGTTAATTAGAAAATTAAAACATAAAATAGTTATTATTATTATTATTATTTGTCTATAAATTTGTTCAAAATTTTAATTGTAATATATATTTATATTTTTATATATACTGTATATATATATATAATGTTGGATAAATTAGAGAAATTTTCTAATTATATAAAAAAAATTATATTAATAAAATTCTAGAAATTTATGTCTATAATGTTCTAGGAAAATTTACCTAATCTATAAGTATAATACTAATAATAATATATTAATAGTTTAACATTATAAATTAAACAATTATAAATGTAATCTATTAATAATAATAAATAAATTAATTAAAAAATAATTTACTCATATTTACCCAAACACTAAACTGGACCTACAATTACTGTAAATATAATACATGTAAATTAATATACAGTATAATACCATTTAGGGTAGTAATAGCAATACTACTAATAATAATATTGTTGTTGTTATTTAATAAGTTTGTAAAATTGTGTATTAATTAGAGTGTAATAAAAAAATAAAATTTTCTATTTATATATATATAAATTATATATATAGTATATAAGTTTAAAATTCAATACTTATATATATATACATATTTTTTTGTGTCTGTTTATAACTATCAATAAATAGATAAATAAATAATTAAATATATGTATATATATACTGTATTTTTTAAACACACACATATTTTTTCAAATAATGATTATAATTTTTTTTATATACAATATAATCAATATATTTATATATATAAAATATGGACACACACTATTTGACTCGTCCGCTATTAGTCCTCAATCGGGACACTTGACCGGTACTGGTGTCCTGGACTCTACCGTTTTTCTTGATCTGTTCCCTACGTTTCCATTTAGCCAACCGTTTCCTCAAGAGATCACCCAAATATTCATTCCAGTTATCAGGCAATAGGACAACAATAAAGCCAAACATTATCAATAAAATGCCGCTTAGTTTCATATCTTGAAATACCGACTTATAGATTAGTATATCGATTACTATTAATAAAATAATAAAATAAATAAATTTTGTTAAAAAAATTATTATATAAAATACTTTTAATTATATATAAAGTACTTTTAATTATATATAAAATACTTTTAATTTATATATAAAGTACTTTTAATTATATATAAAGTACTTTTAATTATATATAAAGTACTTTTAATTATATATAAAGTACTTTTAATTATATATATAAAGTACTTTTAATTATATATAAAGTACTTTTAATTATATATATATACATTATATATATATATATATATATGTATAGTAATTACCCGATGATATAGGAATGGCCATAAATATACCCAAATTCAGAAACAATTCGTACGTCCAAACAATACCGAAATTACCGAAAATATTGGCCAATAGTAGCAATACGGCCGATCCGGTCAACGTTGTCCATGGAATCAATGACCAGACAATGGTTTCGGCGCCAAACAAATACAATAACATTATCAAAGGCCACATTAGAATTGCATTCATTAAACCGATTAACGAAAAAAATAGCGACATTTGGGCAAAACTTGTGTAACCGATAATACGTTTGAAAAATACCTAAAAAATTAATTGTTTTAAATATTTATAATAATAATAATAAAATTATTAATAAAATAAAAAATTACTTTATAAATAGCGGCGCCAATGGCTGAACCAATAGCAATGGTAACCGCAGCTAATGTCTTATGTTGGACGCCATCCATGTATACTAACAGTGCGATTCCTATATCGCATATTATCACAGCCACTATCTATTAGTTAGTTAGTTAAACATTAGGAGGAAAGTTATCATTTAATAAAAAATAATATTTATATATATATGACTTACTCTAATGCCGACAAACTGCTGGTGTAGGACTACCCACGATAGCAGATAGACAATGGATACGGAACATGAAAACAGGGCCATAACTACCGTTACGTCCAATATTCTCAACGAAAATATTAGCATATAGTTTGTTAGTATCCATAGGAGACAAAAAGATCCGCATCGACCAAAAAATTGCATTAATGTAAACCCCTTTTCCATAAATCCCTGGACACTCTCACTAATAATAATAATAATAATAATAAAATTAAAAAAAAATATTAATTAAAAAAAACTTGAAAATAAATTTTCTGAATATATAATTATATATTACTTTTATATATAAATTTATAAATAGATATAATATGTATATGTGTTTATCCAATAATTATTTATAAATAATATTATAAATTTAAATATATATATATTGTATTTATTTTATATAATTTTCATTATTAATAATATTATTTAAAATAAAATTACACAGAAAGTAATTTACTAGAAATTTGATATTAAAATATTTGATAAATTAAAATATCTAAAAATTATTTCATGTTAACAATTGTTTATAAATTTGTTGTTGTTGTTATTGATAATTAAGCAAAAAATAAACATTAATTTTTTTTATATATTATATAAATATATTTCTACCAGTTTAAAAATTTTTAATTATAAAAAAAATTATACTATTATTATTATTATTATTATTATTACTTACACAAACATTTTTTTAATGGACTCGTTTTCTTTATGACAACACGAACAGCACAGTTGGCTAATGATATAAATGGGCAAAAACATGATCATCCATAGGGAACAATACCAGGTGGCCAACAATGGACCGTCAAATATAATTTCGATGTCTTCCTCTATTATATAGGTTGTCTATACATATAAACACATAAACCAACAACAAAAAATTTAATTAATTTTAATATAATTTTTTCAATTGTTTCAATACCTGTGTCTCATGTTTATCACTGCCGCCACCGTCGCTGCCCCCGATGTCGGCGGCGGCGGCGGCGGTACTAACATTGGACGTCAAATGTAGGGAAAATCCGTTTGATTTGTATGTATTGTTTGCGAAACTGATTTTCATTAGATATAGAGCTCCAACCCATGTAAACGATATGGAAATCATTAGGAATATTCCTCGTAATATTTTTTTCGTTTTTACCGAACATTTTTCCGTATAATTTTCCTCAGTATCGCTATTTGTTTGGTCATTAATTCCTAATATTTTTTATTAAAAACAATAATTTTATTAATTATGTTTTTTTTGGTAGTAATAATTTGTTAATTAATTAGTATAAAAATTAATTAAGTAATTTAAAACATAATACATTAAAAATAAAATATATTTATATATTATGTTAATTTTTTGTTGTTGTTGTCTATTATTTTTTTTGTTTGCATACTATATAATAATTATTTACTATAATTTATGTTATATAATGTTGTGTATAGTACTGTAGATATAAAATTTTAAAAAAAGTTATTTGCATATAATAACTATTATATATATATATATTTTTACGGGTATTATAATCTTATATGAATATTCAAAATGGGAAACAAATAATGAAAAATAGATTTATATATATATATAATATATGTATATATTTGGATATGAAAAATGTGTTTTGTAGTATTAAAGTAAGATTACAGTATATTTATAATTAAATTTTGTAAATATTTTATTTAAAAATTTTACGAATATTTTCAGAAAACTAAAATATTAAAAAATATTTTATAATTTAATTATACAGAATAATAATATAATTAATGTTATTTTATATACAGTATTATTTTTATGTAGTTTTTATGCTAATGTTGTTAATAAAGTTTAAATTAAAAAAAAAATTGATTATATATTTCTATTTATATTGTAACAAATTAAAAAAAATTTAATTAAAATAATCAATAAAGTTGAATTATACTAATGTATTTTCAACTATATTTAGTATAAAAAATAAATTTATTATGTACTAGATTAATTTATTTAATTGGTTATTTTTTTTAATTTAAGTAATTAAAAATTTATAATAATTAGTTTTTTTTCAATTAAAATAAAATATTTATATAATTATAAATATTTTCGCAGATGACCTTATATGTTATTAAAATATTGATTATTTTAAATTATTAATTACTCAAATTAAAAAAAACAAGCAAATAAATTAATCTAGTACATAATAAAATTATTTTTTAAAATAATAAATACTGTAGAAAATACATTAGTATAATTTAATTTTATTGATTATTATAATTATCAATTAATTATAATTATTTTGTTATTATGTATATAATATAAGTAATGATATTTACTTTTGATTACAAACACACACACACACACAAAATTGTCAATAAATTTACTTATAATAAATATATACACAATTTATATAACATATCAATATATGTATATAATATATATATATATTGTAATAACAGTTGAATGACTTACCAAATGGTCTAAATTTAGTTGAGTTGACAGCACTGACAAGCATTTTATTTTATTTTTTTTAAATAGCAATTAAATTATTTGAAACATTTATAAACACTAATCATAATAATATAAAAAAAACATTTTTACTAAACAATGACAGCAACAACAACAACAACATCAACGACAAAACATTTGTAGAATTTATTATTATTTTTTTAAATGAAAAAAATCAATTCAATTCAAAAGTCAATTAAGTTTGACATTATAAAACTAAAAACTAAAAAACATATAATTTTTCAAAATGATTAAACACATACACACACACTATATTAATAAATAATGTGTAAACATTGTCAATGATTTAGTTTTTAACAACAATTTTTTTTAGATATTTAAATGTTTACACCGATATATAGATCATAGATATTTATTGTAATTAATTAATTAAATACATTACAAGTAGTTTGGTTTTTAATCACATATTTTTTAATTAAAAATCAGTATTATTATTATTAATAATTTATATAATGGGTTATTATATTATATTGTTGTTGTTGTCATCAATGGTGTTGAATATACACTATATATATATATAAATATAAAACAGTAGACAGAGAATCGCTAATATTCTGTATGTATTTTTATAATATACATACAAACAGTGTATTCATATATTATATATATATATATATATATATATATATATATATATTAAATGTATGTATAATTCAATACATAATTTGTGTACAGAATTTTGAGTCACTTTTTTCTCATCACTGTTTGGCTGTATTTTAGGCAATATTTTTCTGAGCAATCTCTTCGTCAGATTCTGTATTAATATATATATATATATATATATATATATAATATTAAATACAATATTATATATATGGTATATACAGTATATATTTATATATATATTGAGAATATATTCTTATATACTATTTATATATACAGTAGACATTCATGTCAGACAAACATTATTACTATTGTTATTATTATTATTATTTATTATTATTATTATTATTATTATTATTATTATTACTTTTATATTATATTACCTATTATTATATATACAAAAAATTTAGATTATTATGTAATTTTATTTTTTTTACTATTATATTATTCAAATAAAATGTTAATTTATAGTACAGAATATTACTGTATATATTATATATAAAATTTCAAAAACTACAGTAATATTTTTTTAAAAATCTAAATTTATTTCTATATTTATATAACTGAGTATATAATACCTGAAGTACTTTCAAAAAAAATACTTGAAAAAATATTTTTAATATATATAATTTTATTTTAGATTTATATAAATATATAACAACTTTTTTTATACAACATTATCTTGTTTTTAAAATATTAATAATAATAATAATAATAATAGGTCACATATAAAAGTGTATGCCATGATTTTTTTTATTTAAAATAATCAATAATTTATATGCTTATGCATCCAACTAATGCACACAAAATAACAAACAAAAATTGTTTTTTTAATAAAATTTTATTTTAGTTTCCATTAAAACCATATACAGTATATATTTCAGAGATTCAAATACAGTAGTTTATAATATACTCTATATATATATATACTATGGATATTGGATTGCATTTTACTAATACTATTGTATGATATAATAACCGTTATTTTTCACGATTTACAATACATTAAATAATAATAATATTTTACTATTTTTATAATAAATACTTAAGTATAAATTGTTTGAATATTTTATTATATATCAGATGATAGAAATTATTTGAGAAATTTGATTTAAAAAAAAATATAATTAATTTTCTATGTTGTCGTAAATAAATTGTTTGTCATTTTTATTTTATTTATAATTATATAAATTTTTTAACAACAACAACAATATAAAACAATGAATAAATTAAATATTTTTAATTAATATTTGCATTATAATAATAATTATTATGTTATATAATATTTATTATTATTATTTTTAATATAATTTAGTTGTTTTTATATCTATTTGTTATGTATTAATAAATTAATTTCATTTCCATTTATTATACTAAATATTTGATTAATATTTAATACGATAATATATATATATATATATATATATATATATATATATATATATATATATATCTATATAATTATTGTTATATTAATATTAATAAATAAATATGCAATTTTATATCTATAACTAATAAATATTTAATGTTATATATATATATTTTTAATAAATTCATATAATGTTTATACAAAAATATGTTAGCAATTTAAACAAAATATTAATTATTGTTTAATGATTCATTCATACTGTATATATTCATTGATAATATATATTATTATATTTAAAAAAATAAATATTACTACATAATTGCAAAATACAAGTTTGAAAATTTTTCAATTTGATAAATAAATGTCAATATTTACACAATATAATATTAATAGAAAAAATAATTAAATAATATATATTTGATTAATAAAAAACTTTTAGCTTTTTTTGTGCACAAAATAGTCTACAATTTCATAGTAATAATAATAATACTAATGATTAACAAAAATCACGAAATTATACAATTGATAGATAGATATTATAGATATGACTTTAATTTATGGGACAACAAAACAAATATAATAATAATAATAATAATACTAATATTAAGACCACAATTATAAATGTTTGATATAGTTATTGTCATTATTAGTGAAAACAAGAGTTGCTATAGAAATATAATATATATATAAATGAAATTAACTTTTTATATGAAATATTTTTATATTATATAACATTTGACATACGGTAGAAATTATATGATAAAAATTATATATATATATATATTTATACTGTATATTATTTGGTGCATTGCAGTTGTTTTTTAAATACAATTATAGTCCACTAATTAATATATAATTAAAAAATTAATAATAATAATAATAATCTTTCAATGTTTCCAATTATTTTATTTTAAAATATAGATTTTAGTAGAAAAATGCAAACTAATAATTTGTTTGGCCATCAATTAGTCAATTATTATTTATTATTATTAATAATAATTATAAGTTTATCATTGAATATATTGATTATTAATTGTGAAAGTTTGGGAAAACATCTAATTGAATGCCAGTTTACCAATAATTATGACAATCCCTGTATTCATGGTATTTGTATGACAACAACAACAAATTTTACATCAAATTATGATAATAATAATAATAATAATATTAATAATAATAATGATAACAATGATTATCATGATTATCAATGCTATTGTCATAATGGCTATACGGGTGTCAATTGTAGCCACAAATTTGATCACTGCCTACACTATAATCCATGTCAAAACAGTTAGCAATTATATTATATTTTTTTTATTAAAAGTTATATAAATTTTGTTTAAAAAAAATATCAATCTTTTTCTATACATACGATATTATTAATTATAATTATATATATATAAAAGTTTATTCAATTAAAATTATATATTTATATTTTATTAATTATATAATTATTTTATTTATTTATATATTTTAGATGCTACCTGTCGTAATCTAGATAACATACCCAGTGGTGACTTATTTATGTGTGTTTGTGTACCTGGATATTGTGGTATTTAATTATTATTATTATTAATTAGTTTTAAAAAAGTTTATTAATTATTAGTTTTTAAAGTTTATTATAATTTACTTAAAAATTAATTTAGTAGACAGTATTTAGACTAATACTGTATATTGAATATTAATATTATTATTACTGTAATAAACTTAAATTGATTATTGATTTACACATATTTTCTGACTAATTAATTATTAGGAAATTATTGTGAGATTGAGATAAACGAGTGTCAATCAAATCCATGCCTTAATGGTGTAAGTAATGGTTTTTTTTTAAAAAAAACTACTAATTTATTTTGTTTTATTGACATTTATTATATTATTATTAATATTAAATCATTATTTTTTTTTATAAAATAAAAAATTTTGTACAACAACAGGGTATTTGTACGGATCAACTAAATGGATATACATGTAACTGTCCTAAAGGGTTAGTCAATAATAACTTATATATATATATAAGTAATATAAAAATAACTTTTGTTTTTTAAAATATGAAAAACAGATTCAGTGGAAAACAGTGTGAAATTGATATAAATGTTTGTTTGGATCGTAACTCAAGTGCCGGCGCCGGTCGGATACAGTGTCTCAATGGTGGCACATGTATTGATGGACCGGGACTACAATATTTTTGTGCATGTAGCTTAGGTATGTAATGTTATATATATATATATATATATATATATATATATATATATAGTTTAATTAGTAGTAGTATACACATATAATTAATTTGATACTAAATTAAACTAATATATATATATATAGGTTATACTGGACAAAAATGTCAGTTCAAAATAAGGGAATGCGATTCAAATCCATGTTTGAATAGCGGCCGGTGCGAGGACAGGGACTATGGCTATCAGTGTATATGTAATTTAGGTAATGATTTTAAAAAAATATATATATAAATAATTAATTTAAATTAAAAATAAATAAATAAATATTTAAAGATTGGACTGGAAATAGATGTGATCAGCCATTAGTTGAATGCAATGAAAATCAAAATGAAAATCAATGCAAAAATCAAGGTATTTGTAGAAAACTGGTTAACACTTCCTCTTCTTCTTCTTCTTCTTCTTCTTCTTCTTCTTCTTCTTCTTCTTCTTCTTCTTCGACATCACTGATGATAATCAGTGAAAAAAATTCAAGAAATAATAATAACAATAATAACAACAATACTATTATTAATATTATATGCTTTTGTTTGCCCGACTTTTATGGCCAGTATTGTGACCATCGATTCAATGAATGTCTATCCAATCCGTGCCTGAATAATGGTATCTGTGTGGATGGTCTGGACAGTTATCAATGTATTTGTAGCCAACCCTACTATACGGGTATCAATTGTCAAATTGATTGTTCAGATCCGCTAAATCAATCAAATCAATCAGATTATTATTATTACTGCCATAATATTATTACTGAAACACCACCACTAATTGATAGCACATTATCA